CGGGCGGGCCGGCCACGCATAGCTCACTGCTCACACAACTCAAGGGAGTCACTCTCGGACCCCTAAGGATGTGCGCCTCTGAGGTTCCCTAGACATACTCCTCATGTGGCCCTTATATTCCCTTAGAGGATCTTCACAAAGGGTCCCCAAACCCACGGGTACCGCCTCTGGGGTCGGTATAAGGTAAAGTCCCTTGGACAACCGGACATCGGAGGCCTCACGGCCTCGCGAGCGCTCCCCCGCCCACGCAATGAAGACCTAGAAAGGGAGCCCCCCAGCCTTTGCCGAATATAGAGGCCTCAATAACCAGAATAGGGTTGTGGGAGCGATTCTTTTGCATTTTGATATAGGGGCCATAGGGGAACACCATTCGTGATTCTTCCGACCCCTATATTACATCGCCAGCCCTGATCGGTTCGTTTTCTGGAGGAATTCCTGCATGATCACCCGCCGAGCCAAGGAAAATCGACGCCTTCTGCCCGCACAACGGCACGAGCTACCTCAACGTCACCCCCTGCTCGCGCATCTGGGCTTGTTTGTTTTTGTCTTGTTTATTCGAATTTGTTTGCTTTGGGTTTTGTTGTTTATCTTGTTTGTTTTCGTACTTTGTGTGTGTTTTTTTGCTGTTTGATTTTGTTGATTTTGTTGTTCTTGTTTGTTTTGTTGGGACTGAGCCCGTCAGAAATTGGCCGTGACTTCACTCAGACCTGCGCATGCTTGTCATTGGCGTTAGGACTGGCTTCGTCCTCGCTTTTTCAAAATCTACTCATCGAAGCACTTCCTGGCTCTAAGCCTTGGGATGTTCCCCCTTATACTAACAGTCCTGAATAGGGACTATAGTACCCCCTATTATCATTCCTATTCAGGACCGTTAGTATAAGGGGAACATCCCAATCTAAGCCCCTAAGCCCCCAACCCCCTAAACCCTACACCGACCCTACTTGGAGATTAAAGGGTACTTCTCACCCCAACTAGAGCTGTACTTATCACCTACTTAGGGCGGGCTTGTAAGTGCAGTCAGAGTTGGTTGAAAAGTACCCTAAATTCTAAACCCTAAACCCTGAACCCTAAACGCTAAACCCTATACCTTATCCCCAAAGCCACACCAGCCGGAACTCGTCAGCGAAGCTTTTCCTCGAAGCCAGCCTAAGCCAACTCCCGAACCCCCAATGAAACCCAGTCTGAAGCCCGAAGCTGCAGAGTTTAGGGCTTAGGGTTTAGGGTTTGACCACCAGTCCCGATGACCCCTAAAGCTCTGACCCCTCCAACCGCCCTAAAGCTCTGACCCCTCCAACCGCCCCAACCCTCGAAACCCCTCCAACCTCCCCCTCCCCCCGCCACCCCCCTCGCCAAAAAAACCCCAACCCCCCAAAAAGCCCCAAACGCAAGCACACCCCCATCAAACCCCCCGTGAACTTCTCGAAGACTTCCCAGAAGCCAAATGCCCCTCAGCTGCGGAATGCGAATGATTTAAAACACTAAACCCCTAAACCCTAAACCCTAAACCCTAAGCCCTAAACCCTAAACCCTAAACCCTAAACCCTAAAACACTGAATCCGAATTTGCTGGGGCATTCCTGCTCTCGAGGGGTGGGGGTTTAGAGTTTAGAGTTTAGGGTTTAGGGTTTAGAGTTTCGGGTTTAGGGGTCCTCCCAAATGCTGCAAGGTAGTGCGGCGAGCCCCTGGGCGTGAGTTTAGGGGGGTTTAGGGGGGTTTAGGGTTTAGGGGTTTAGGGGGTTGAGGGGGTTTTAGGGGCTTTAGGGGGTTTAAGGTATTGGGTTCAGGATGTAAGGAGTTTAGGGGGTTCAGGGTTTTGAGGGTAAAGGGCTGCGCCGCAGTGGGCCTAACCCCTAAACCCTAAACCCTAAACCCAAAACCCTAAACCCTAACCCCTAAACCCTAAACTCGAACCCCCCAAGATACCCCAATTTCGGAAACCCCCATCTAGTCCCTAGCCCTATGCCCAAGAACCCTTACGCCTTGCGGCGCTTGTGCCCAATAGCTTGGATAATTCCGGCTAACTTGACAGCCCCTCTGGTGCTTTTAAACCCTTGCCCAAGACTGTGAACCCAAAGGGTTTAGGGTTTAGGGTTTGGGGTTAGGGTTGATTACATCTGCTGCACCCACATGGTGGTTCCCACGTCACCTAGACGGACAAGAGCTTTGCCTGGGGGGGCCTAGTTTGACACTCTAATAACCCCTCCAAAAAAGTCCCTATTCTAATCTAATGATTAAGGCCCCAAAATAACGTTTAGGGTTTAGGGTTTGGCATTTGGGACTTGTCAAGGGATGAAGACTCGTACCCCTGAGGTTGTACTCCTCAAGGTTACCCTGAATATACTTCTAGTATGGCCCTTATATTCCCTTAGGGATCCTTAAAAAGGGCCTCAAAACCCAAGGGTACAACCTTAAGGGTCCAAGGTAGAACCCCTAAACCCTAAACCCTAAACCCTAAACCCTAAACCCTAAACCCTAAACGCTAAACCCTAAACCCTAAACCCTAAACCCTTTTTAGAACCCCCAGAATTTTGGGGTTTTGGCCGATACTGCGCCAACCTGTCAGGGCAGCGTGCAGGCCGCGCGGGCCGCACCAAGCCCGGCCAGTGTTTCAGGCGCTCCTGTAGAGTTGGAAGCCCCCCCCCCCCCCCAAAAAAAAAAAAAACCGAAACCCGAAACCCTGAACCCTAAACCCTAAACCCACAAACCCTACAACCCTTGAAGCCTAAGCCCCAGTAGACGCTGATCAAACCCTTACATCCTAGACCTGATTACACCTTAACGGCTCACCCCTAAGCCCGAACGCGCCTAAGCCCCTCATGCTTGAGCTGTGGGTTGAGGAGTTTACGGGTTGAGGGCTTAGGGACCTAAACCCTAAACCTAAACCCTACACCCTAAACCCCAAACCCTTTAGTATGGGGTGTCTATCCCACACTGCCTCCACGTCCAGGCTGCTCACACAGGAGGCGTTTCACTCGCAGGCTCGGCTGGATTCCTCGAAGCTCCTGAATCCCCCTTACTACGTTCAGGGTTTAGGGTTTAATGTTTAGGGTTTAGGGCTTTCCAACCTTAGATTTTCAGCCGCCCCAAACCTTGCGTTGCGTGGACGTGCGTGTTTAGGGTTTAGGGTTTAGGGGCCATTGGATTTACAACTTTTTGTGACCCTTCTTTTCGTAGTTTTTCCTCGTAATGTTTATGTAAAGAGCACATTAATAATCATAAACGCGTGAATATATGAACGCATGAATAGATCAATAGAAGATAGAAGTTGAAGATAGATAACTTAATCTTTTATGATATTTTGCTTATTATTGTTCCTTCTCTCGCTCACTTATTTCTTGCGTTCGGTTCATTATGAGGAGCGTGTGGGTGAATAGACGAACCACAGACCATATGAATGAAGGTTGGGATGTTCCCCCTTACACCAACAGTCCTAATAGGGTTTTTATTAAGGGGTACTATGATCCCTATTCGCCATATTAAGGACTGCTAGTAATTATGAGGGGGAGCATCCCAAAATGAAGGTATGAATGGCCCTCACTCTCGGATCTGCTAGTAATCAGGAACTGCTGGAGCACACGATGCCTGAGCTTCAGCGGAGCGATCTCAAGGAGAGAAAGCTGGAAGGAACAAGATAAGCGAGCAAAACCCTGAACCCTAAACCCTGAACCCTGAACCCTGAACCCTAAGCCCTAAACCCTGAACCCTAAACCCTGAACCCTGAACCCTAAGCCCTAAGCCACTGCAGGGCTTCCGTACTCCTAGGGGTTGTTATGGTTTCAGAGTCGGGGCTTGTGGGTCTTGGGTTTGAGGGGGCTTCGGTTTTCTGCTAGAGTCTTGGGGGTTGGGTCTATAGAAGGTCTGGGCCTTTGAGGGCTGAAGCAGGGTTGAGGCAAGTTGGAAGGTTTGAGGACGAGGGGTGTTTGCTCAGTGGTGTTTTCTTTGCACTTTTCAGTTTTGAGGGGGGGTTTGCGGGATAGGTCGGACTAAGACCCACACCGGGAACCCTAAACCCATGATTGTCAGGGTTTAGGGTTTAGGGTTTAGGGTTTAGGGTTTAGGGCAACACCCCAATCTGAAACCCGAAGCGAGCACGAACCAAGCCGAACGTGGGGCTAGGGGGCTGGGGAACCCTAATAATACTATGCGCATTGTTATCTCATGATTTTTAATATCATCATTCTGATTCTTATTCTCATTGTCATTCGTATCCATATTCTTATTCTTATTTTTATTCTTATTCTTATTCTTATTCTTATTCGTATCATTATCATTATCATTTTATTTATAATTATCAGTGTCATCATCAGCATAATTGTCATTGTCATTATCATTATCATTGTCATTATCATTATCATTATCGTTATCATGAGCATTATCATTATCTTTATCAATACCATTATCATTGTCAATATCAACATTATTGTTCTAGTACTATCACACACGCACACACACACACACATCGTTCCTTCGGACTCTAAACACCCAAGCTTGAACCCCAAGCTTGGCAAACTCTATGCAGGCTCTGAGGTTTTAGGGTCTAGGGTTTAGGCTTTTGGGTTTAGGGTAAGGGTTTAGGGTTTAGGGTTTAGGGCTACTAGGGTCCTCCAGCTTGGGAGACATGGAGGACGTGGTGCTGATGCTGAAGTGCCTGGGCGTGGACGCCCCTCGGTTGGCATCCAGATTCAAGTTTTAGGTTAGGGTTCCCCCGTCAGGGTTAAGGCTTTAGGGTTGAGGGTTTGGGGTTTAGGGTTTAGGGTTTCACTTGAACACAACAAAATATTGACCAGGCTCTCTAAACCCAAGCAGTTGGCCCAAGAGAGCGTGTTCTGCAATAACATGTTTGAGACGTGCTCCTCTCTTATCAACTTCCACGAACCTTCAGCTTCTTTGCAAACACGAGTAACGCACACACACACACACACATACGCGCAAGCTTTTGTTGAAGATCCGCCCATCGTCTCAGAAGCCTTCCGCAGTGCAGTTTCCCCGTGCACGGTCGCCATGTATCCTGTGGATGGGCGACCAGCGCACTCCGTACCAGGCTCATCGAAGCTGGTGACGCCCAATGAGCCTGTAGGACCAGTCTTCCGGCCAGTGTCCACACCGGCATGGGTCAATCCTTCGCCGGCAGGACGGAAGGAAGAAATTTGGTAGCCCAGCGGTACCCTGTTCCTTTTTTTTGTTGTTCAACTTTCCCTTCTAAAGTAACCAACCCCAAAAAAGCGTGCCCTTATTACAATGAGGTTACTGGGCTACCAAGGAGAAGAACTCAGAAGTGGAAGCTGAGCGCCTCTGGTGGTCGGATGCTTGCGAGCGGCAGATGAAGGATCTCCAGAGCGCGTTCAGCACGGAGTTCAGCCGTCTCGCGGACCGCCTCACCCGGGACATCGCCGGCTGCGAGCAGAAGTTGGAGCAGCTCGTGGCCAACGAGAGCAACCAGAGGGCCCATGCGCTGGCGGAGATCCGGCGTGAGTCCGACAGCCAGGGCACCGAACTCTCGGAGCTCATCCGGTCGCAGCAAGATTTCAAAGACCAGCTGAACTCCCTGCAGGCCTCATTGTGGCTTCGCTCCGGAGCCGAGGCAGACCTGGAGCAGCTCCAGAAGGAGGTGCAGTAGGGTATAAAAGACGGTATATACACTCACCACTATGAAAAAGGAACCTTATATACACTCACCCCTCAGGTCTTGTGGCTTTCATTTGAGGGGGGGGCCTCCCTAGGAGTCAGGACCCTGAGGGCGGCACTAACGAGGCGTTGCCTCGGATGAGCACCTGCCTCCCGGCCTTCCCCTCCGCCGCAAGAGTGACAGTGCCTGAGGACTTGCCTCCTTTTCGTGTTCTGTGGGTATTGCTGACCCTTTACAATTTGCGGCCGCTGCAGTATTCTCAGTTCACGCCTGTTGTCCTTGGACTTCTCTGGCTCCTGAACCCATGTGATTCTCCCTTGCATGCTCTCGGCTCTCCCACTCTCTTGGGGACCTCTGTGAAAAGTCTTGACGGGATTCTTGCTTCACAGCCGCTTCCTTTTTTTTTTGCCCGCCATTATTTGTCAGGGAGAATATATGCGTGCGCTGCGGACCACGTCCCACGGGTTGCGTGCGCTGCTAGCCACGTCCCCTCCTGGAGAGCGCGTGCGCCGCATGCCACGTCCCGCGGGGTGCGTGTGTCGCATGCCACGTTCATTCTTTAAGAGTTTAATTTTTTTTGTTGCTTCCTTCTTTCGGTCCACTTTCGCGTTGCGAATGTGCGTTGGCTCTCCTTTTGAAATCCCTGCTGTTCTCTTCTTCTCGCCTGTCATGTGGTTTCAGGAGGGAATGCGTGCGCTGTGGACCACGTCCTACGGGTTGCGTGCGCTGCTAGCCACGTCCCCTCCTGGGGAGCGCGTGTGCTGCATGCCACGTCCCGTGGGGTGCGTGCGTCGCGTGCCACGTCCATTTTTTTTGTTTCTTCTGTTTTTTTTTCTCCCTCTTTTCTTTCCCTCTCCCGGTCATAAGCTTTCGCATTTGAGCGAACTGGCATTGGCTCATCCTAGCCATAGTGTATTGCATGCTTTGCTGCGGCAGTGAAAGGGGAGGTAGCCAAGTGATGGGGCCGCGGCTTTAAGCTAGTCAACCATTTACTTGGCTGCCTCTCCCCTGGCTTCTTGCTGGGTTGGTCGTATGATGATAGTTGTGCAGGGGGTGGGGCCGCGGCCTTGTGCCAGTCATCCTCCCCTGTCACATTCGGTTTGGGGAAGGTTGGCGGGCGCCGGGGCCGCGGCTTCGTGCCAGTCAACCGGTCGCCCGCCTTCCTCTCCCTGCGTGGTGCACTTACAGTCTTGGGGGTGGGGCCGCGGCCCTGTGCTAGTCAACCGCCCCCTAATGGCCAGGCAGTCCGAGCTGCGCTTGCAGCTAATGCCCATGTGACGGTCGCTTTGCTTGTTCAGTTTCTCGGTTCAACATGCCACCTCTGTCTCCCTTCCGCCTTGTGTTTTGAGCTCCGCCCCTTGTCCAGATGTTTGTGCCCGCCTGGGTCCTTCATGAGCGGCTGTGCGGTTGGGCGATTGCGTGGTTGCGCGGTTGTGCTGGTGTCCGGTTGTGCGGTCGTGCGCAAGTGCAGTGGTGCGCTTGTGCAGTAGCGCGGTTGCGTAGTTGGGCGGCTGTGCTTGTGCGGCTGTACAAGTGTGTGGTGGTGCGGTTTGAGGTTGTGCAGATGTGCGAAGGCCGGTGCAAGGTTGCGCGGTTTAAGTTGTGCGGTTGTGCGGCTGTGGTTGTGCGTTGGTGCCTTCTGTGTTTGCGTGGCGGATGGCCCCGGCCCCGGGTCGCCAGTGGCGCCTCCCTAGGGTGCCGACAGCCTTGCTAGTCTGTCATTGGCTGTTGGCGTCTCTTTGGCTGCTCCCCGGAGCTTCCCCGCTCCTGCAGCCTTGTTATTGCCCGGTCCTGCATCACTAAGCGGTTTTCATTGCCCCCCGCTATCTCTTGGTTTTTTTGGGGGGGGGTCCCCTAATAGGATTTCCTAAAAAGTATGCGGGTTTTAGGACGTGGGGGGGGGGGGGTTAGAAATAGGAAAACCACTATAGCCCATGTCCCTAGATTTGCCTATTTTACTTCAAGCTCCACATGTTGATTGTAGGGGGGGAGAGAAGTCAGGAAATAGGCCGCGTGCAGCATGTTTCGGGTATACCTCTCTCTCTCCTTCTTCTGCTTCTACCGGGCTTCTCTCTTCCGGATTTTTTTCGAAGAGCCCAGAAGCTGTGAGTCATGTCTTGTGCTGTCTGTTGATGTGTTGTCTGTCGGGCTGTAGTGCGGAAGCACAACATGACTTCAGCATACTCCTGACAACAGAAATGCCAGCCATAGCCAGCCCCTGGCGAAGCGAGTTGACCACTGCACTGCACGTTCTTTCAGCAGCAAAGATCGCTTCATATTTTTCATAGAGAAGGAGAATTCTCGAAAATAGGCCGTGGAGAGTCCCCAAAACAGGCGGGGACCTAAGTCCAGATTCTTATTGAAAGGGGGGGGATGTTCAAGCATATACTGTGATGTGATGGAAACAGCTAGCACAAAAGTCCTCGGCAAGCTTTCGAAGAACCTTCCACGGAAGCCGTACACCAGAGTCCAGAATGAGGTGGCCCGCCTGCCAGAACATGCCAGATGATGCAAATAGGACGGAAGAGGGGGGGCCAGGCATTGGAAACACTGCACTGGTGCACACTTCCATGACCTACCCCCCCCCAGCTTCTTCCTATTTCAGGGCTCCCGCGAGACCCGTAAAATCTTCTGGGAAAGCATGGGGAGAGGCTGCTAATGGCTGCTAGAAAACCCTACAGGACCCGAGGACGCCCACAGAAGCACCGGTTTTAGGATGGAAGAGGGGGGGGCAGGCATTGGAAACACTGTACTGGTGCACACTTCCATGACCTACCCCCCCCAGCTTCTTCCTATTTCAGGGCTCGCGGGAAACCCCTAGAATCTTCTGGGAAAGCTTGGGGAGAGGCTGCTAGAAAACCCTACAGGACCCGAGGACCCCCTCATACCCCCTCCGAAACAGCCACAGAAGCATCGGTTTTAGGATGGAAGAGGGGGGGGCAGGCACTGGAAACACTGTACTGGTGCACACTTCCATGACCTACCCCCCCCAGCTTCTTCCTATTTCAGTGCTCGCGGGAGACCCAAAATCTTCTGGGAAAGCATGAGGAGAGGACCCGAGGACCCCCTCCACCTCCGAGACAGCTACAGAAGCACCGGTTTTAGGATGGAAGAGGGGGGGGCAGGCATTGGAAACACTGTACTGGTGCACACTTTCATGACCTACCCCCCCCAGCTTCTTCCTATTTCAGGGCTCGCGGGAAACCCCTGAAATCTTCTGGGAAAGCTTGGGGAGAGGCTGCTAGAAAACCCTACAGGACCCGGTTATCACGGGTTTTAGGATGCGATAAGGGGGGGGGGGGAAAGCTTCGGTCAAGGCTGCCGGAGGCGATCTCGCCCGCGTCAGCCGCAGGCATTCCGAATCTATTGAAAATGACGACCCTCCAAACCCCAAACATCCCCAACTCATCCAACCCCACAACTGTATGCACCCTCGCGCCAGGAGGCATCCCAGGGTGACCGAGCCTCGCTATCAGCGGTCTCATCGGCATCCGTCTCCCGCTCCTGTTCATACGATTGCCGGTTTGGGGTCAACCCTAAATACGAATCACAACGCATCACCGCCCAGCTCGTCTCCCAACAACACACGACCAACGGCAAGCGCTGAATCCAGCCCCGCGATCTGAAAACCTAAGTACTGGGATGTGCAGGGGCAGGGCGTCGCATGTCACTGTATTGGGACGTGGGGGGGGCCCCCCCACGTCCAGACCGGCAAGGTGTATTAGGATATTTTCCTATTACCACCCCCCCCCACGCCCCCCCCCAGATAACCTGGGGCAATCGGTTTTCACACACGTGCGTGCTTCCCCGTTGAACCCGGTTGCTCCCCGGCGCCGCCCGGTGCGCCTGCAACCTGTGCTGCATCAACCTGGCGAGCTACTGCAGAGGGCCACTTCCCTTCTCTACCTTAAGTGTAGTCCTAGCTCGTGTGCTTGCCCAGTGGGGCTTCGGTTTTCCCTTTTTCCGGTTGTTTTTCAGGGTTCTCCCTCCTTACTTGGCAAGGGTTTGCCCTGCTTGACCCCCTGTCCCCAGCTGCTCCCCGGCTCCTCCCCGCCTTCAGCCTTGGTGCCCCCCTTGTGACTACCGTTGTTTGTCTGATTGCCTCTGTTGGCTGCTCCGGCGATACCAAGCGCCTGCAGCCTTGGCCGCAATCGGGCCTGCTTCTACATCGAGCGGGAATTACCATATTCGCTCTCGTGGTCCCCGTTGACCGGTTGCCCGGTGCACCTGCAACCTGTGCACTGTTTCAGCTCGGCGTCCCCCGTCCCCTGACAGTCTCTGTCGGTTGTGGGTCGTCGCAGTCATTTATACACTGGTGTTAAGTGAGGGCGTCGAGTTTGGATCTCGTTCACCGCCAAGTTGCGTTGCAGTGGGTTCCCCTCTTTTCTTGTCCTGCTGGCTTCCCCGCTGCCCCCGGTTGCCCCCGGCGCCTCCGGTGCGCCTGCAGCCTTTGCCAGCTTTGGTGTCTCCTGTTACACGACTCTGCAACGTGTGTGGGAGTTTTTACAGCAAGGTGCCAAATACCTAATCAGGCCATCAGATCCCTGTTGCAGGCCCCGTCACATGTTGCTGTCCAAGCACGGGCCCGGAGCCCCTTGGTCTGTGCAGGCTCCCTGTCGCAGCTCAGGGTTTGCGTCCCTTGGAGCAAGGTGTCCCTTCCTGCCCAGGCCTGGCTTGCTTAGTGTCTATGGTGTGCCATCCGGTGTTCTGCCTGCATGTCTGCGGCGTGTGCGCTGCGTCAGCTCTCCCCTTCCCGTGTTCGTGATGGGCGCGGCATCGTTCCTTTATCTTTCTTTAATCTCTTTTTTCTCCGCCTCCCCCTTCGGGTTGGTTCGGTGGGTTCTTGGTGTCCTGTGCTCGTGCCCTGATTGGTTCAGTCGTCTCCCGTGCCTTGGTCTGCACTATGACTAAACCCCCTCTTGAACTCTCCGCGGAGGGCGGCGATGACGCCTGCGGAGCCGCCCCGAGATGTGGGGGAGGAAGAGTGCGGGCGGCTGCAGCAATAATAACGCTGCTAGCCATTCTCCCTCCCTCCCTCCCTTATATACACTCACCAATAACAGTAATATAAACATATAAAAACCCTACCTCAGGTGCAGGAGACCCGGGACTCTCTCCAGGCCCTCCAGTCGAGGCCCATCATCGCAGAGGTGCCGGCGGACGCCAGCCCGAGCCAGAAGGTTCAGCAGCTGGAAGCAAGCCTCGTCGACCCTAGGTCATAGTTGGGTAGCATTTTACATCTTTAAGGGTAAACCCTAAACCCTAAACCCTAAACCCTAAACCCTAAACCCTAAACCCTAAACCCTAAACCCTAAACCCTAAACCCTAAACCCCAAACCCCAAATCCTAAACCCTAAACCCTAAACCCAATAAGGAATATACATGTAGATTTTTAATACTATCCCACCATGAGAACTAGGACCTCCGCCGTGACATGGTGGCCTGTGTCGACTCCCAGGAGCAGGCGGAGAAGCTGCTTCAGTCTCTGCAGAGAGAATCTTGGTAGCCCAGCGGTGCCCTTCTTCCTCTTTTTTTGGCTTCAAGGCTCCCTTATCAAGTAACCGACCCCACAAAAAGGGGGGGCCCTTCTTTTGCAATAAGGTTCCTGGGCTACCAAGCTTTTTTGGGGTTCTGGGTTCCCTATATATATATAAATAAAAATGTATATATATATATATATGCTATATATATATATAAGGTAAGCAGTCCCCACAAAAGTGTTTTGTTCTCTCCCTGGGTCATTGAAAACCTGAGGATTGCTCCGAGGTGCAGGAGAAGGTTCGCCTCCAGAGCCAGGCGAGCGAGGAGCAGCGCTCCCTGCACCAGGTGGGGACTTTACAAACATTTTGGGGACCCCTAAAAAAGACCCCCCACATAGTAGTCCCCCTTAGAATGAGGACCCCAGTTATGATACTAATTAACTGATGCCATTTGTTGACTGAGAGCATTCGATTCTGAAAATTGTGAAGGATAATAAAGCTGTTATGTCAAGGTTGGAAATCTATGACTAATCAATTGAGTCTTTAACATTCTGCTGCAGACTTTGTGCTTTTTGCACTTAATTTGTCTCTAAATTGCTGTATAATTGGCATGACCTGATTCCCTGGAAACCGTCCTAGATATCCATCTTTCGCATGAATTTCAGAGACAAAAAGCGTATTGTCCTATAGAGGTGACTATCTTTAGCAGGTAAAACATCGAGTGTGATGTTTAGTTCTTTCACGCACATATAGAAAATATCAAAACTCTCCCCCCTAAAATAGACCCCAAATAGTAGGATCCTCTTATAATAAGGACCCCAACGAGTACCCCTCAAGTTAGACCCCGCATGGTAGGACCCCAATCAGGTACCCCTAATGTCGGAAACCCCCATCAGGTCATCTCGAAGAGCGCCGGGGATCTCGGCCGCGGAATCGAGGAGGTGTCGACTGCGTCTCGGTAAGGCCCTTTTTGGGGCATTTTTTCCATTTTTCCCTTTATTGGGTAGTTTAAGAGGATTCATAAACAGGAAATACCTTTGAAGGGGGGGCTTTGAGGGCCAGCCTAGGCGATGATGCAGGCAGAGAGCAACCTGCGACAGGAGATCCAGAAGGCGGACGGTGAGCTGCGGGCGGAGCTTGTGGAGGAGATGGAGGCCCGCTTCAAGCAGTTTGCCCAGAGCCTGACGGACGAGCGCGACTCACGGCTTCGTGAGTCCGGAATTCTCAAGACACGCGTCGACTCGGTGTACAACAGACTGGAGCAGATGGAGCCCAGCGGCACATCGCAGGAGATGAGTGAGACCAAGATGTCCGTGCAGGAAACGAAGAGCGAGCTCGCGCAGCTGCAGTCCGCCCTAGGGCTGCTGGCAGCGGAGTGCCGGAGGACGGCCGCCGGATCGCCCACAGCAGCAAAGGATAGCGAAATCCAGCAAGTCTCCGATGCAGCCTTGCGGCTGCGTGTGGAGGCCTTGGAGGTGCAAGCAGACAGCCAGGTGCCACGCTCGCTGCAGCTGGAATCACAGGTGAAGGACCTGCGTGGTGCGATGGCGCCCATGGGCAACCGCGTTCAGGCTCTGGAGGCCGAGCTGCGCAAGTGGGACCGGGACACCACCACGGCGCGGCTCAACGCCGCCGAGGCGGAGATCACCCGACTTGGGCGGGACAACACCGCCATAGAAGGCCTGAGGGTGGACGTGGAGGTGTTGAAGCGCAAGCTCGTCCGGGAACCGACGGCGTCCGAGCGGTTGCCGCGGCTCGTGACCCGCCGATTGATCTCCGAGGATCTGCGGAACAGAGTTGGCCTGCTGGTGAGCAATGTCCACGACACCGTGGCCCGGACCTTGCCTGGCGACGTTGAGGGGACCGTGACTCGGAGGGCCCTGTGAGGACATGTTTGTATTTTCCCTGATTGGGTTCAAGCGGATCATATGGGTCTCCGAAACTGGGGGTGCCTTGTTGAGGTCCTTATTATAAGGGGATCCATTCCTATCTGCCCCGTTCCTTACGAATCTGAGGAATATGGCGTAACCCACAGCTGAAGGCTAAAGTCCCAGAGGCTCCACTCGGGGGTATGCCATAGGGAAGTTATCTGGATGCTTCTTGGGCGTGTTTTGGGTGAACCCGCCCTCCGTTGTTGCTGCCGGACCTGGGTCAGGGTGAAGTCCTGGTGGTCTGAGCTCAGGGTCAGGCCCCAGGGAATTTATTAATCCTGGGGCTGTTTTCTCACCACCTCCCCACTCCCCGACCTTACCCAGACTTATTCCGATCTCCTGAGCTAAGCCCACGATGCCGAAACCCTCCACCTTAAAGCTGTGAGCCTGTACATGCCTATTCCTTGCCCTCTCGTAATCCTAGCATTCCAAGTTTGACATTTGGGCTGTGGAGTCAAAAAGAAGACCAGTCATTGGCAGGGGTCGGGCCCTGGGAATTTATCCTCCGATGATAGCGTGGATTTGATCCAAACATATCCAAATAGGACATGCCAGCGGCCTCAGGCCAACAACGAAAAAAGCCAACATTACCCTCAGGCCCGCGGGGCCTGACCCCGAAGGCCACAACGAACCCCTATTCCTAGGTGAATTCCGACAGCACAGTGTCGGCTCCTTCCGGTGGGGCGAGGTCCGGGGAGGCGGAGATGGAGCAGTTGGCCCAGCTCCTGCAGGGCGAGGAGGACGTGGCAGGGAACAAGCAGCTCATTGCTGCGATCCAGGCCCTGAGGGAGAAGAACTCTGAGCTCCATGAGAAGAACGCCGAGCTGGCGCAGGAAGCGCTGGTGCGCGACAGCGTGCAGCATGTGCAGCTTCCCCGCGCCACCTGGCAGCCCGGAGAGCCACAGCTCCACACCTACAGGTCGGCAATGCCCGATCCTATGAATCCTGTGGCGGTGGTTCAAGGAGGCACAGTTCAGGTTCCTCCAAATCGGGAAGTGCTTGGTGCTGGTGGCTCCGTTTTGATGATGCCGGGAGGCTCCTGCGTGTCGGGTACAATGCCGGCTTCGGGCATGGTGCATTCAGGTTCGGTCCTCGTGTCTCGAGGATCCGTCCAGGTCGGTCCAACTGGCGTTCCGCGCACAAACTCGCCACGGAGGGAGGCGTCCAAAGAAAACGCAGGTGGTGTGGTGCGATCTTTGACGCCTGTGGCGGGCTTCACAGATCAAGCGCAACACGTGCGGGGAGCTTCGCCCGAGCGCCGGGCCACCGTCGTCGTGACGGGCGTGCCGCCAGGCGCGATGGCTGTTCAACAGCCGATGCCTGGCTGGCGTGCAAAGCACACCTAAGGATACATTATGTTCACAGTAAGAATGCGACTGAGAAAGTAGCGTGCCTTCGGGATGCAATTCTCAAATCTGAGGTTCCAGCAGGGCGTGCAGCTTTGACTTCCTCACTACCCGGAAGTCCGGGTTTAGGATGTCGGGTTGGAGGGTTTAGGGGTTTAGGGGTTTAGGGGTTTCGGGGTTTAGGGGTTTAGGGGTTTTGGGACTATCTCTAACTTGATGCTTGGCCAGCATAGTACTTCTATGGAGTTCATAGCTCGCGGCTCTCACACGCAAGCCCAGACCAGTAGCCTAAACTTCCAGACAAACCGGCGTCCCCTAAACCCCAAGCCCCCAAACCCCCAAACCCCCAAACCCCTAACCCCTAAACCCAGACCCTAAACCCTAAACCCTAAACCCTAAACCCTAAACCCTAAACCCTAAACCCCGTAACTCAACCAAGGACGTCGGAAGCTTCGAGTTTCCCACGCCGCCGCCCCGCGAAGCGCTGGAGCTGGCGCTGGAGGCCCGGGGATGCAGTTTGGGGTTTAGGGTTTAGGGTTTAGGGTTTAGGGTTTAGGGTTGAGAGTTTAGGGTTTGGGGTTTAATTAGGTTTGGGGTTGAGAGTTTAGGATTTAGGGTCCAGGGTTTATTTGGGAGACGAGGTCCCGGAACCCTAAACTTAGACTGAAACTCTGCACCCCAAGCCTTCCGGCTCTATGGGAGTTTCGGGTTGAGGAGGTTTAGGAGGTTTAGGAGGTTCTTAGGAGGTTCTTAGGAGGTTCAGGAGGTTCAGGAGGTTCAGGAGGTTTAGGAGGTTTAGGAGGTTTAGGAGGTTCAGGAGGTTTAGGAGGTTCAGGAGGTTTAGGAGGTTTAGGAGGTATAGGAGGTTGAGGGTTAGGGTTTGGGGTTTAGGGTTCTCAGCAGTGCACCTGGGAGTAAGGCACCCCGGAGAGCCGACAGGTTTGCTGGGGAACCCCTGAAGCCTTGGGTTTGGGGTTTAGGGTTTAGGGTTTAGGGTCTAGGGTCTAGGGTTTAGGGTTTAGGGTCAAGGGTTAAGGGCTTCGTGCAGGGTCAGCAGGCAGTGCAAGACCTTCGGCGCACTTGTTGTATGTGCTCGTGTGCTTGTTGCAAGAGAAGTGGTTTCGGTGTTCCGGCTTAGAGGTTTTAATTTTTGGGTGATCCAAGGTTCATGGGCCCTCAATATGGCCCCTAACCTTCTTTAAAGGGTTCTGATGTGAGGGCCCTTGATTTGTGAGGGCCTATACTACGGGGCCGTGGAACTACCCTGAGTGTTTTGGGTGAGCTAGCAAGAGGTCAAGAAGGCAACCTAGATCCGGGGTGTGGGGCTTAGGTTAAGGGGCTTAGGACCGTGAAGGGGTGTGTCTAGGGGTTTGGGACGGAAGGTGTAGGGGTAAAGGGCTTGCAGAATTACAGGTCTGGAGTTATCAGGTTGGAGGGTTCAAAGATACTCAAAGGTTGGAGTCAGAGGATCTTCACGTAGGTGGGGTGGCCGGGGGGGGGGGGGGGTTGGGCAAGGGCGAGGAACCCCAAAAAAACTCTGGACCTTCAACCTCATGCCCCAAAACCCTGAAACCGCAACAGGCCCGAAGAAACCCTCAAGAATCCCTAAAGACCTCAATCCCTGCCCTAAACCCTAAACCCTAAACCCCCAAACCCCAAACCCTAAACTCTAAACCCTAAACCCTAACCCTGAACCTGGGCCCGAAACCCCAAACCATAAGACTCAGAGGAACTTTATGCCTTGGGCGCCATCGACGTGGAGGCCGCGACCCAGTGGAGGGCGGTCGCATCGCAGGCTTAGGCCCTAAAAGCTGAACAAACATCAAACCCTAAACCCTAAACCCTAAACCCTAAACCCTAAACCCTAAACCCTAAACCCTAAACCCTAAACCCTAAACCCTAAACACCAAACCCTAAATCCTAAACCCTAAGCCCTAAGCTAAACCCTAGACCCTAAACCCTGAGCCCGAAAGGTGCCGTACTTGGGTTGTATGTTGGGTAGGGGGTACTCCCAAACCTTAAACCCTAAACCCTAAACCCCAAACCCCAAACCCTAAACCCCGAAAGCAGCCCGAAGCTCCTTGGTGTTCAAAAGTCAGCTTCTGCCCATGGCGGGCGGGGGGACCGGCCTGAACGGCGCGGCAGTGGCCGTGGCTGCCTTGGAGGCCGGTGTAGGGTTTGGTAGGGTTCAGGGTTTGGGGTTTGGGGTTCGGGGTTTAGGGTTTAGGGTTTAGGGTTTGGGGTTTAGGGTTTAGGGTTTGGGTTTTGGGTTTGGGGTTTGGGGTTTAGGGTTTGGGGTTTAGGGTTTAGGGTTTTGGGGGACCTCGGAGTGAGTCTTGGTTCTTTTTTTTTCAGCTGCTTTCCTGAAGCCCGAGAGAGCCTTTCATGCGTGGGGTCAAGGTCTGTGGCCTTTAGGGTTTAGGGTTTTAGGGGTTTGTTTAGGGGCTTAGGGGCTTAGGGTTTTGGGTTTAGGGTTTAGGGTTTAGGGTTTAGGGTGTAGGGCTCGTCGTTCTTCGGGCTGAGGGTCTTCGGACTCATTACCTTTAGGGCTTCAAGAGCTGTTTTTGGGGCTCAGCCCCAAAAACCCCCTGAGCCCCCTCGAGCCCGCTTAACTTCCCAAGCCTCCGCGTGCTTCCGACGCGCGAGGCCTGGAATTCTTGCGGACCTGAGGGGTATGTCCTCAACACGGGGAAGTTGAAGGAGGCCGGTGGCGTTTTGGGTTTAGGGTTTAGGGTCTAGGGTCTACTTGGAGGTTCATGTACTTTTTTAACCAATTATAACTGTACTTATAACCCACTTGTAAGCCCCTTAAGTGCCCTAAGATGGTTATTAGTACAGCTATAAGTACAGTTATCATTGGTTCGTAAGTACCATGAGCCTCCAAGTAGGGTGTCTTTCCCCTACCGCAAGCGGCCGAACTCTCACGGTCATAGTAAGTATGGCGCCACCACATCTGCAGGGGTGGTTTTTGGCATGTGGGGCGCGGGCGCTTAGGGTATTTATGAGGGGTGAGGTTTACCCTACTTGAAGAGACCGCCAGCCATATAAGTTTTGCTGGGTTTAATCCGAGGCCCTGAACCACTCAAAAGGGTTCAGGGTTCAGGGTTTAGGGTGTGGGGTTTAGGGTTGAGGGTTTAGGGTTTAGGGTAGAGGGTTTAGGGTTTAGGGTTCAGGGCTTAGGGTCGAACCATCCACGCCCGTCCACACGCCCCATGCCGAAGTCTCCCTAAGCTCCCTAACTCCATAACCTGCAGACTTCACCCTGAACCTCAAAAGCCCTAAGACCCCAGAACCTCTTCCATCCCACCTCAAATCCCCTCACCCCCTCACCGGCCCTCTACGCCCCAAACCCTCACCCCAACCCCAAGAGCCCTGTAAGCCCCAAAGTCGTTGCCATTCTAAAGCCTAAACCCTAAAGCCTAAACCCTAAACCCTGAACCCTGAACCCTGAACCCTAAACCCTCAACCCTAAACCCCTAAGTTGTTTCAGTTGAGGCCCTTCCGGCGATTGCGGAGAAGATTCCGTGCCGGGCGCGGCAGGCCCCCGAGCTGGGCCGCCTCTTTGTGGAGGACTTGGGGTTTAGGGTTTAGGGTTAGGGTTTCGGGTTTGGGGTTTGGGGTTTAGGGTTTAGGGTTTAGGGTTCAGGGTTTAGGGTGACAAGAATTATCAGATGTTTGAAGGTTTTGGGGTTTCGGGTTTCAGGTTGTATCTAGGGTAGAAGGGGTTCAGGGTTCAAGGGTTCAAGGTGTTTCGGGGTTTTCAGGGGCTTAAGGCTTCAAAGGGTGTAGTGTTTGGGGTTCAAGGGTTTACGGGCCCCTCTGGCGCCGCCCGTTAAGGTGAAGGTTGAGGCAGCTACTAAACCCTAAACCCTAAGCCCTAAGCCCTAAGCCCTAAACCCTAAACTCTAAACCCTAAACCCGAAACCCTAAAGTCTAAACCCCTTGAGGAGGATGGAAAGGCGCCAGTGTTCGTGCAGATGCTCCGGCCACAGGAGGACCAGGCGACCCGGGTTCATCTTCTCAGGGGGGGTTTGGGTGCCAAAACTAAACCCTGAGCCGAGAATCCTGAGCCCAAATCCCTAAACCCGAAGCCCTAAAACCCAAATCCCTGAACCCTAAACCCTAAACCCTAAACTCTAAACCCTGAAAAGCCCGAAGCCCAAACCTAGGAGCCGCGTTTAGGGTCTAGAGTTGGAGGTCTAGAGCCACGGGCCCTTGTGACAGACTTAAGTTACCATCATTAAAGTTTCGGTTTTAGGGTTTAGGAAGCTACCATAACTGTTTACTAAAGATCTCTGTTATGCATAGCAAGAGCCCAGCAACCCTCGACCCGAAAACGCAATCCCTCAACCCACAGCGCTGAAACCTAAACCGTATGAACCCCCGGAAGCCTGCTGTACAAGATCACGTTCCATTCATGGTTCGCACTTGCCCTCCGAACCCCTGGGCTCTACCTCAACCCCAACGAAATCCTACTCCCTACGCCCTACGCCCTAAGCCCTAAGCCCTAAACCCTAAACCCTGAACCCTAAGCCCTAAGCCCTACCAACCCTAAACCCTAAAGCGCCCGCCCCAAAAGGTGCATTTCCTCTACTTCTGGAAGGCCTTCGGCGAGGCGGCCCGGATCGCTGGTGCCTTGGCCATCGAGCACGACAGCCTGTCTGTGGAGCTCCTTGTCCAAAGGGTTCTTAAGCTCCTAGCCCTAAACCCTAAACCCTAAACCCCAAACCCTAAACCTTAAACCCCGAACCCTAAACCCTAAACCCTCTACCCTCTCAACCCTCAACCCTCAACCCTCAACCCTAAACCCTAAACCCAGCGAGGCTTGAGATGCTCCGAGATCGGGTCCTGCGGCTCATGGAGGAGGCCCTGGCTGCAGCCTCCAAGGCAGGGCCTTAGGGGTTTAGGGTTTCGGGTTTAGGGTTCAGGGTTTAGGGTTTAGGGTTGAGGGTTGAGGGTTTCGGGTTTAGGGTTTAGGGTTCAGGGTTTGGGGTTGAGGGTTTTCGAGTTTCGGGTTTAGGGTTTCGGGCCGTTTGGGATGTAGGGTTTAGGGTTTCGGGCGGTGTAGGGCTCATAGGGCTTGAGCTTGGTCTGCATTTTTGTTGGGGCGGCCTCCAGGGGATTAAGGGTTTACGGGATGTTCGGGTGTAGGGGATGCCTTTTTTGAAGGTTCCATGCTCCCGGCTACCCGTTCCTAAGCCCTAAGCCCTAACCCCTCAACCCTCAACCCTAAATCCTAAGTCCTGAACCCTAAACGCAAACCCTAATTCCTGAAACCCGCAGCGTCCTAGACAAACTTTAGTGCTTCAAGATTGATGCAACAGCCAATCATCGGTTTCACTAATTGAACGAACCAATCGGGGTTCATTAGCTCGCGCGCCCAGAACCTGAAACCCTAAACCCGAAACCCTAAACCTTAAAGCCTTGAAAACCTCTAAACCCTATAAGCCCGATAAGCCCTATAAACCCTATAAACCCTATAAACCCCATAAACCCTATAAACCCTATAAACCCCATAAGCCCTATAAACCCTGTACACCCTATGAACCCTATAAACCCCATAGACCCTATAAGCCCTATAAACCCTATAAACCCCATAGACCCTATACACCCTATAAACCCTATAAACCCTCTAAACCCTATAAACCCTATAAACCCTAAAACCTTGAACCCTGAGCCGGTCTTCAGCCTCATGGCACAGGGCGCCAAGGGCGAGCTGCCCCTCGCCGCCCTCTTTGAGGAGGCTGGCAGGGCCAGGAAGTTTATGGATCAGGGTTTAGGGTTTAGGGTTTATGGCTCAGGGTTTAGGGTTTAGGGTGGATAGTTTAGGGTTTAGGGTTTAGGGATTCTTTGGCATGTTGGCGCACCACGCAGAGATTTGGCGTGTCGGCACGTGTTTTTGGCATGTTGGCGCGTGCTTTTTGGCCTGTCGGTGCTTTTGTGGCATGTCGCCGCTTTTTCGAGATGCCGGCGTGTGGCGTCCCATGTTTGCGTCCGGCTAGCTTCGGGGATTCTGGGCCCCCTCCCTTTCAACCGAAGGATGAGGGTTCAAAGCTTATGGCTTATGGATTTTTCCGGTTTTCCTGAGGCCCACCGCGCTGCCAGCATGTCTGCGTACCCGCTGCCCCTGGGCCGGCTTAGGGTTCGCGGGGCAGGGGTGGAGCCGAACTTTAACCCCAAAAGCCCGAACCCGGCACCGTAAACCCTAAACCTTAGACCCTCTCAGCATCAACCGTAGATGCCCGCTAAAAGGCTATTGTTGACCTAGCTCAACAGCAAGATAAGCAAGACCAATGGAAGGAACGAGCAAACAACACGTACATTTCATATCGTTTGTCCGGCACGCACGAAAGAAGATGTGACCACATGTTCACTGTGACAGCAAGTCTCGACACTCTCGGGTCAAGCGGCCCATGCCAAGGCAGGTTGGTAGTAGCACCTTGGTACTACGTGGTAGTAGGTAGTGCATGGTAGTAGTTGTAGTACTTCGTTGTAAAGTCGTAGTCGTAGTCGTAGTCGAAGTCGTAGTCGTAGTCGTAGTCGTAGTCGTCGTCGTAGTAGTAGTCGTCGTCGTCGTAGTAGTAGTAGTAGTAGTAGCAGTAGCAGTAGCAGTAGCAGTAGCAGTAGCAGTAGCAGTAGTAGCAGTAGCAGTAGCAGTAGCAGTAGCAGTAGTAGTAGTAGTAGTAGTAGTAGTAGTAGTAGTAGTAGTAGTAGTAGTCAGTAGTAGTAGTAGTAGTAGTAGTAGTAGTAGTAGTAGTAGTAGTAGTAGTAGGAGTAGTAGTAGTAGTAGTAGTAGTATTAGAGTATTAGTAGTAGTAGTAGTAGTAGTAGTAGTAGTAGTAGTAGTAGTAGTAGTAGTAGTAGTAGTAGTATTAGTAGTAGTAGTAGTAGTAGTAGTAGTAGTAGTAGTAGTAGTAGTAGTAGTAGTAGTAGTAGTAGTAGTAGTAGTAGTAGTAGTAGTAGTAGTAGTAGTAGTAGTAGTAGTAGTAGTAGGAGTAGTAGTAGCAGTAGTAGTAGTAGTAGTAGTAGTAGTAGTAGTAGTAGTAGTAGTAGTAGTAGTAGTAGTAGTAGTAGTAGTAGTAGTATAGTAGTAGTAGTAGTAGTAGTAGTAGTAGTAGTAGTAGTAGTAGTAGTAGTAGTAGTAGTAGTAGTAGTAGTAGTAGGAGTAGCAGTAGCAGTAGCCCTAAACCCTAAACCCTAAACCCTAAACCCTAAACCCTAAACCCTAAACCCTAAACCCCTGAACCCTAAACCCTAAACCCAGAATCGAGCCGCGGCCTCAGGTTCTGGTCCCAGGCTGTGGCGTCCTTGGCCTCCGGGCCTGAGCCAAATGGCAGCGTGAGCCTGGAGGAAAGTTGAGGGTTGAGGGGTTGAGGGGTTTAGGGTTTAGGGTTTGGGGTTTAGGGGTTTGGGTTTAGGGTTTCAGGTTTAAGGGTTAGAAGGGGGGGTTTAGGGTCCAGGGTTGGGGGGTTTAGGGTTTTGGGAGGGTTTGAAATTTCAGGGTTCGGCGTTTGAGGGTTTCGGGTTTTTGGAGCCCGCAACTCGTCTCAGCAAGCAATTAACCCTACACCTTAAACCTTAAACCCTAAACCCTACACAAGCCTCCCGCGCTGAAGCGCCCAGAGTGCTAAACCCCCAACGCCCTAAGCGCCCCGAAGCCCTGAACCATCAGCCCGAAGCCCCAAACCCCAAGCCCCACGCCCCACGCCCCACACCCCAAACCCCACACCCTAACCCCCAAACCCCAAACTTAACCCTAAACCCTAAACCCCCAACTGTGCTTGCAGGAGATGACCTACTTGCTGCTGTCCTGGCTGCAAGACTCCGCCCTCTGGGAACATCGCGAGGAGCCGCGGCAGGATTCTGCCCCGTCAACTTCTCAGGTGGGACTTCCGGGTTTAGGGTTTAGGGGTTTAGGGTTTAGGGTCAGAGTTTAGGGTTTAGGGTTTAGGGTTTAGGGCGTAGGGTTTAGGGTGCAGGGTGTAGGGTTTAGGGTTGGGGTTTAGGATTTAGGGTTTAGGGTTTAGGGTTTAGGGTTTAGGGTTCCGGGTCTAGGGTTCCGGGTTTAGGGTTCATGAAGGGTCTAGGGCTTAGAGAGTTAGGTTATGTCCCTCAACCGCTCGGCTCGGAGCCCAAGCCCCTGAAACCCTCGAGCTCCACATCCGCTTCCAACCAACCCCTAGACACTTCGGCCTGAAGCCCTACACCCTAGACACCGAACATATCAGGTTTTAGTGTTTAGGAGGGTTTAGGGTTTAGGGAACCCTAAATAAACCCTAATAAACCCTAATAAACCCCAATAAACCCTAATAAACCCCAATAAACCCCAACAAACCCTAAACCATAAGCCCGAAACCCTAAACCCTAAACCTTAAAACCCTAAACCCGAAACCCCAAGCTCTGAGCTGTGCCTGGCCTTGGTGCGGGTCCTCTAACCTCGGAGGATTACAAACCCTAAACCCTAAACCCAAAGCCGTAAACCCTAAACCCTAAACCCTAAACCCTCTGCTCAGCAGGCTTCTTCCCGGGAAGCGAGGGAGGTCGCTGTGCAAAGGGAACCCAACGCTCCCAAGGGCCTTCCTGCTTCGTGGCTGTAGGGCTTCGCGGTTCAGGGTCAACCCTAAACCCTGAACCCTAAACCCTAAACCCTGAACCCTAAACCCTAAACCCTAAACCCTAAACCCTATTAAACCCTAAACCCTATTAAACCCTAAACCCTAAACCCTAAACCCTACACCCTAAACCCTACACCCTAAACCCTAAACCCTAAAGCCTAAACCTTAAACCCTTAGCTTTGGGGCGTAGGGCTGTCGGACTTTATGTTGGAATATGCATTACGCGTTCTGAGATTCCGTGGCTTCCCAGGTCTTCCTGCATGTCTACGACGTCTCCCAGGAGGAGGGCATCCAGAAGCTCAATCGCGTTCTGGCACACAAGCACTTCCCCCTGAAATTCGGCGGAGTTTTCCATGCTGGCGTGGAGGTACGCACCCTAAACCCTAAACCCTTAACCCTGAACCCTGAACCCTTAACCCTAAACCCTAGAGCCTAAACCTTAAACCCTAGTTTAGGGTTTAGGGTTTGGGGTTTCAGGGTTTTGGGCTTTAGGGTCTAGGGGTTTAGGGGGTTTAGGGGCTTAGGGGTTTAGGGTTTAGGGTTGGGGCGAAGGCTTTCTGCCAGAGGGCGCCTTTTTCTGTCGGGGCTTTGGTGTTTCAGCTTTCCGGACTTTGGGTGAGGCAAGTTAAGGGGATTGATTTAGAGGTCTACGAAAATAGGGGTGCCCCTTTCATACCCCAAACAGAATCCCCTTAAATGGACCCCCGAAAAGGGCACCCCCTTTTAGGGTTTAGGGTTTTCGGGTTTCGGGTTTAGGGTTTAGGGTTTAGGGTTTAGGGTTTAGGGTTGAGGGTTTAGGGCTTAGGGTTTCCCATGTGGAGGTTTAGGCTTTAGGAGGCTCAACCGGATGAGCTTCGGTCGCTGAGAGTGCATGGCTTCCGGTGTGATAACCCTAAACCCTAAACCCTAAACCCTCAACCCTAAACCCTAAACCCTAAACCCTAAACCCTAAACCCTAAACCCTAAACCCTAAACCCGAAACCCGAAAACCCTAAACCCTAAACCCTAATCCTAAACCAGGTGAATAGTCTGGAGTGGTGTTTCGGCTACTCTGCCAGTGAGACGCACCCTGGAGTGGCCTGTGTGGAGCCGAGGCCCACAAACAACACCGGGTTGCTGGCTTGTTGGGTAGGGTTGAAGGCCCTAAACCCTAAACCCTAAACCCTAAACCCTAAACCCTAAACCCTAAACCCTAAACCCTAATCCCTAATCCCTAATCCCTAAAAACCCTGAACTTTAAACCCTAAACCCTAGACCCTCAACTCTTAACTCTGTTTTTGGGGTTTTGGGGATTCGGGGTGCAAGGGGTTGGAGAATATATTTCTTTTTCCATCTGCCTCTTCTAGAACCCCAGCTGGAACGAGCTTGAAGAAACTTTCGACCTGGATGAAAGGTGTGAAGTATGGGTATAAAAAGTTTTCCAACAAAGGGCCCATTTAGGGCTTAGGGTTTAGGTGTTAGGGTCTAGGGGTTAGGGTTTAGAGTTACAGAGTTTCTGCTTCAGGGTTTCAGGGTGTTAGGTCGAGGGGGTTTAGTGCGAGGGTTTGGGGCCGAGGGCCTTTGAGGGTTTCAGCGTTTTAGGCTTTAGGGTTTAGGGGTTAGGGTTTGAGGCGATTATGCAAGTTAAGTGAAACGCCTAGTTTGGAGCGCCCAGCCCCCAAACAGTCCACCAGCCTGCCTTGCCAACTGCCGAGGGGGCACCCAATGCACCACTACCGCCACCGGGTCTCAATTTGACATTTTTTCATCTTCCGTTTGTGCCCTCTCTTCCTGTTGTGACGATTCATCGGGATGTTTGAAAGCTTGGCCCAAAACCCTAAAACCTAGAATCCTAGACCCTAAGCCCTAAACCCTAAACCCTAGGGCAGACGGTGGCCATGGGCTATACGACCTTGGATGGCGAGCAAATCGCTGACATCGTGACGCAGTTGCTGGAGGAGTACCCCGGCCAGGTGCCGCTTGGTGGGTTGGTTCCTAGAGAGCCCACTGGGTTTAGGGTTTAGGGTTTGGGGTTTAGGGTTTAGGGTTTTAGGAAACCTCAGTTCATAAACAATCATCTTTGCAACAGCTTATTTATTTCATGAAAGGGTTCGTAGACCTGCACACTTAAACTTAGGTAGACCCCCCAAAAGAGCTCCTAAGGTCTGGCATAGCTCTTTTCCTCGCTGTTTTTCGGTAGCCCGCGACCGCATGATGAAGGAAGAAGCCTAAAGAACGCCAGAAACCTAAGCCCTAAACACCCTAAACACCCCCTAAAACCCTAAACCCTAAACCCTGAACCCTGAACCCTGAACCCTAAACCCTAAACCCTAAACCCTAAACCCTAAACCTCACAGGACTACGACCTCCTCCGGCGCAACTGCTGCCACTTCGCCGACGACTTCACGCGCCGCCTGGGCGTCGGGGGGATCCCAGGCTGGGTCATGCGTCTGGCGAAGATCGGTGCAGGCCGGGTTTAGGGTTTAGGGTTTAGGGTTTAGGGTGTAGGGTTTAGGGTTTAGGGCTTCGGGTTTAGGGTTTAGGGTTTAGGGTTTCGGGTTTGTGTTTGTTCATGTTTGCTCCCTCAGCCCTCAACCCTCCACCCTCAACCCCATAGACCCTAAACCCTGAACCCTCAGCCCTGAACCCTCCACCCTCATACCCATAGACCCTAAACCCTGAACCCTCAATCTGAAACCCTAAACCCTAAACCCTAAACCCTAAACCCTAAACCCCAAACCCCAAACCCGAAACCCGAAACCCTAAACCCTAAACCCTAAACCCCACCCCCCAAACCCTAAACCCTAACCTTGAACTTCAACCCTAAACCTAAACCCTAAACCCATAAACCTTTCAGTAGGGTTCAGGGGTTGAGTGTGTCAGGTTTCTTTGAGGCTTGGGGTGTGTTTCAGGCCTCTGGATTTCGGACTGAACCCCGAAGCCCTGAGCCCTAAACCCCGCACCCAGAAATCGAAGCCCGAAGCCTTAAACCTACAAAGCCGTGCACTCCAAACCCTAAACCCTAAACCCTAAACCCTAAACCCTAAACCCTAAACCCTAAACCCTAAACCCGAAACCCACAAAGCCCCGAACCGTGACTATGTGTAGGCAGTGGCGGTATGGGTTCCAGCACCCTGAGAGCCCAAGGCCCACGTCCCAAAATCGACTCTCCAAGAGGTAAGCCTGGGCTGCGGAGTTTAGGTTTTAGGGTTTGGGGTTTTGGGTTTAGGATTTAGGGGGTTTCGGGTTTAGGGGTTTAGGGGGTTTAGGGTTTAGGGTTTCGGTTTAGGAGGCAGCAGACAGATCCTGAACCCCAAACCCTTCTAAACTCGTTGGGAGGTGTGGAGTCCATGATACAGTCGGCACCAAAGCCTATCCGGCAGCGATTTGGGTTCCTCACAGGAGAGGAGGACTCAGATTAGGTGCTCGGCTGTAAGAGCGTCTGGGTTTTAGGGAACCCCCCCCACCCCAAAACTCTATACTCTCTCAAAGCCGTGTACCCACAGGCCGCCCAACATAATGATTTAGAACCTAGTTGTAACAACAGCCTACCGAAGCAACGCGACCTGCACCGAATTCAGCCCTCCGTCGGCGGAGCTAGGTCGGCCCTTTTCTTGGGCTTAAGAGAGCCCTGACTTGGGAGTCCAATCTTAAACCCTAAGCCCTAAACCCAAGAGGGCCATTTTAAGGGGGTTTCGGGTTTGGGGTTTAGGGTTTAGGGTTTAGGGTATAGGGTTTGGCCAACCTAGGAAGTTTGGGGGGCCAAGGGCTGGACGTTTCACCACAGAGTGCGCGCACAGATGGGCGCAGAGGAGGAAAACAGCACAGTGCTCAAGACGTGCTTGAACCCCAAACCCTACAAAAAATCTAAACCCTAAACCCTAAACCCTAAACCCTAAACCCTAAACCCTAAACCCTAAACCCTAAACCCTAAACCCTAAACCCTAAACCCTAAACCCTAAACGCTAAACCCTCAACCCTCAACCCTCAACCCTCAACCCTCAACCCTCAACCCTCAACCCTCAACCCTCAACCCTCAACCCTGAACCCTGAACCCTGAACCCTGAACCCTGAACCCTGAACCCTGAACCCTGAACCCTGAACCCTACAAACCCACCAAAACCCAGGGGCACAAGCTTAAGGGTCTGAGGTACAACCCCTAGAACTGATTCGTTCAGGTGTTTAGGGTATTTGCTCTGAGGGTTCAAGGCCTAGGGGTTGAAGGGGGTCTGAAATTGCGAGTCGTAGGGTTAGGGTAAACCCCAAACCCCAAACCCCAAACCCTGAAAAGGGGGGGGTAGGGGGGGGGGGGGGTAGGGGGGGGGGGGGGGGGTTGGGAGGGGGGGGTGGGAGGGGGGGTTTTTTCCAAAAGAGCCCCTATGCCTGTGCGAAACCGCCTATGCTCCATGAGTTTACGCGGTGTGGGTGGCTTGTTCCTCCACGGAAAAGCTGCCGGGGTACCCCCCCCTACCCGCGTTTGAAAGGGGAGGGAAAGAGGGAGGTTTTCACCTCCAGAAACCCATCCAACACGCCGCCAGGGTCGGCGGACCTAACCCCAAACCCCAAACCCAAAACCCCTGAACCCCAAACCCCTAACCCCAAACCCCAAACCCCAAACCCTAAACCCTAAACCCAAAACCCTAAACCCCAAACCCTCAACCCTAAACCCAAACCCTAAACCCCAAACCCTAAACCCCCAAACCCCAAACCCTGAACCCTAAACCCCCCTCAAAATCCGCAGGCACGCCTCGTGGAGCCCCTTGGGCTACGCATGGCGCACGGGCCGCTGCCGGCGCGCCAATGGGGGGGGGGCGCTGGGGGTTGACAGAGGTTTTCAGGGTTTCATGGGTTTAGGGTTTAGGGTTTAGAATTTAGGGTTTAGGGTTGAGGGTTTAGGGTTGCTAGGGTTTTAATGGGTTTGAAAAAGGGTTTGAAGGGTTTTTTTTGACAGGATTTACGGCTTAGGGTTTGGGGGACATCGGGGTTTGAGGGTTCAAGGGTTTAGGGGTTTAAGGGTCTGAGGGTCTTTAGGGTTCACGGGTCTGGGGTTTTGCATGGAAGGGTTCAAGAGCTTCAGGGCTTCAGGGTGAGTTCAAGGGTTCACAGGGCGTAGACTAAACCTTAAACCCTAAAACCCCAAACCCAAAATCGCAGTTTGGGGCGGGGCCCCAGGTCTTTGAAGCCTACGACGTTCACATGGGAGTTTGCTGGCTTGACATGAAATGGCCTGAGCCAGAAACTCCTGATCACAGACCCGCAAGAACCAACAGGGTGTAAGGTTCAGGGTTGCTCAGTATCCCGAATGTTATGGTACGGGGTTGTAGCACCGGTTGCCCTACTTAAGCTTAAACTTAAACTCCGAATCCCAACGCGTCGCAGGGTGTAAACCCTAAACCCTAAACCCTAAACCCTAACCCCTAACCCCTAAGCCCTAAACCCTAAACCCTAAACTCTAAACCCTAAACCCTAAACCCTAAACCCTAAACCCTAAACCCTAAACCCTAAACCCTAAACCCTAAACCCTAAATCCTAAACCCTAAAAAGAACCCGGACGTCCTTGGGGGTTGACGAGGTGGCGCTGACGCGGTTGCTGCTACTCTCTGCCGAGGCCTTTGGGCAGGTCCTATAAGTAATCTTCAATCCGTAGTTGGATTGTGGCTTCCGCGTGTGCGGACTAGAGCATTACCCTGAGGCTCAAAACAGCCCAAAAACCTCAGATAATAAGGACTTTGGGCCCAAAAACCTAAATAAGAGTTCTTGGAGCCTAGGTTACGGGTTAAAGCGATTCACGATTGAGGACTGCATTAATTAGCCGGCAGGTGTTGGTATTTCCTGCGGCGGATCACGAAATCCGGACATGTCACGACATTCCGGGACCGGATTTGTGCTGCCAATGCATGGGGTGGGCGTTGCAACAAGTTGTTGTGTCCTTCCTCATTCCGTCAGATCGTGTGTTTAGGGTTTAATACGGGTTCAGGGCTCAGGTTTAGGTTGATTGTAGGGCGTTTATGTCCGGAAGTACGGTGTAGGTTTTGCGGCAGGGTGTACCCAGCTTAGCTCTGGCGAAGCGAGGGGTCTTAGAGCCTTAGAGGCCTTTGATAGGCGAACCCCAAATCCTAAACCCTAAACCTCAAACCCCAACCCCCAGACCCCAAACCAAAACCCCAAACCAAAACCCCAAACCAAAACCCCAAACCCTTAACCCCAAACCCTTAACCCAAATCCTAGACCCCAAGCCCTGCAGGGTTGAGGTGGTGATCTTTTGGGATTCGAAGCCCTGAAGCAAAAAACCAGAGACCCTAAAACCTTCACCCCCTAAACCCTCAGCCCGGACCCCCAGGCGAAACCCCAAGCCCCTCGTCCCGATCGCAGGAGCCACACTGCTGCGCCGCGGAGGCTCCAGCAGTTTTGGGGTTTTGTTTGGGTGTTTTGGGTTTTAGGGTTGAGGGGTGTAGGTGCTTTTGGTGCACTTGAGGCACGAAGCCCCAAAACTCTGAGGCCTAAGCTACAGCCCCTAAACCCTAAACCCGGAACCCTAAACCCTAAACCCTAAACCCTAATAACCACCCTAAACACCCTAAAGCCCCTAAACCCCCTAAACCCCCTAAACCCCCTAAACCCCCGAAACCCCCGAAACCCCCTAAACCCCCTAAACACCCTAAACACCCTAAACCCCTACCCCCTAAACCCTAAACCCTAAACCCCTTCCCCCTAAACCCCTAACCCCTAAAACCCCTAAACCCTAAACCCTAAACCCCTAAACCCCTAAACCCCTAAACCCTAAACCCTACCCCCTAAACCCTAAACCCTAAACCCTAAACCCTAAACCCTAAACCCTAAACCCTAAACCCTAAACCCTAGACCCTAAACCCTAAACCCTAAACCCTAAACCCTAAACCCTAAACCCTAAACCCTAAACCCTACCCCCTAAACCCCTACCCCCTAAACCCTAAACCCTAAACCCTAAACCCTAAACCCTAAACCCTGAACCCTAAACCCTAAACCCTAAAACCCTTCAGCAGCCCCGAGCTGTTGGCAGAGGCCGCGGCGACCTGCGCCATGCTCTCCTTGCAGCCACCCTGGCTTCCTTCGCAGAACAAGGATGGGGTTTAGGGTTTAGGGTTTAGGGTTTGGGGTTTAGGGTTTGGGGTTTGGGGTTTAGGGTTTGGGGTGGGTTTAGGGTTTGGGGTTTAGGGTTTAGGGCGACTCCGGCAGCGCCGTCGTCGCTGCCTGCTAGTCGCGCACCCGTGCACCCCGAACTCGAACAGCCTTAGCTGACACATCTAGACACCCAAGACCACTAAACCCTAAACCCTAAACCCTCAACCCCTAGACCCTAAACCCTAAACCCTGAACCCTAAACCCTAAACGCTAAACCCTGAACCCTAAACCCTAAACTTTAAACCCGAAACCCTAATTCTGCGAACCTTAAACCCCCAAGCCCCAGCTACCAAGCGCGTAATATGGGTCGGAACAATTTCGAATAGTATTCCCTTCAGGCCCCCTTATTGTCATACTGTAACAACCCCCAAAACCCTATTAAACCCTAAACCCTAAACCCTAAACCCCAAACCCTAAACCCCAAACCCCAAACCCCAAACCCCAAACCCCAAACCCCAAACCCCAAACCCCAAACCCCAAACCCCAAACCCCAAACCCTAAACCCTACACCCTAAACCCTAAACCCTCAACCCTGAACCCTAAACCCTAAACCCTAGCTACGTACGCTCCGCGAGTCCTTCAAGTCTCAAGCTCACGCCGTCCTCGCGCCTCCTCAGCCGCCATGGTGAAAGCCCTTTGCCTCGCATCCCTGGGATTGCTTCTTGGAGATGCGTTCAAATTAAGGGAGGGTAGGGTTTAGGGTTTAGGGTTTAGGGTTTAGGGTTTAGGGTTTAGGGTTTAGGGTTTAGGGTTTAGGGTTAAGGGTTTAGGGTTTTTGGTTTAGGGTTCAGGGTTCAGGGTTTAGGAGTTGGGGCTTAGGGTTTAGGGTTTAGGGTTTAGGGTTCAGGGCGTCCCTTAATCGGGTCCCTTACCTTCTTTGAAGGGTTCTGAAGTATGGGCCCTTGGGTTTTATAGGGCATTTCAGGGGTATGGAAGGGTTCTCAACGAATGGCCCATAATGAGGGACCAGCAACCCTAAACCCGAAACCCTAAATCCTAAACCCAAAACTCTAAGCCCTAAACCCTGTCGGATTGAATCCCATAAGGCTTTCAATGGGACCCTAAAGATCAGGCTATTAGGGATTCGAAGCTAGGGGCTATTGGGGCTTGGGTGGCAGGGCGGGATTCGTGAGGGGGCAAGATGCCCTGAACCTGAACCCTAAGCCCTGAACCCTAAACCCTCGACTGGGCACCTTAAACCCTAAACCCTAGACCCTAGACCCTGGACCCTAAACCCTAAACCCTAAACCCTAAACCCTGA